GTGAGGCAGTGCCTCGTGAAGGACATGGAGCAGCGGCCGTTCAGCCGACACCTTCTCAGGCACCCGCTCCTGCAGCGCGCTGCCCTTCAAGCTCAACGGGTGAGTGTTTGCTTTTAAGTGTTCCTTGTTTCCTTTTAAACGTAAGGACTAAGGATGCGCTCGCCAGTAAGATGTCTCGAACCGCCCCAATGACTACCTGTGCAGGTGCGCCTGGAGCTGCGTCGCGAGATCCACGGCGAAGGGCGGAGTCCCCGGTCGCGCGCCCGAGCCCGCCAGCGCGCGCCCCAGGTCACCACGAAGCACGGCCAGCTCAAGCAGGACCGGCGCTCCAAGCCCCAGCCCATGTTCCGCGACGACCTCGCCGCGCTCGACAATCTCACCGAGGTAAACTACCGTCTACTACTCTGAAATAAACAACGATTAAAGTATATTGTTTTAGCCCAAGTCGAAATTTTAAAAATTTCCCCTTTTTATGAAGTATATTGAAATGTATTTTTTCTTTTCACAACAGGCCAGCATTGTGGAGCAGCTGCAGCGGCGTTTCGAACAGGGCCAGATCTACACGTACATCGGCGACATCCTGCTGGCGGTCAACCCGTTCGCCAGCCTGGGGCTCTACTCGGAGCACGAGCAGGCGCGCTACCGCGGCCGCGCCCGCTCCGACAACCCGCCGCACATCTTCGCCGTGGCGGACGCGGCCTACCAGGCGCTCGTGCACCAGGCGCACAACCAGGCCATCGTCATCTCGGGGGAGAGCGGCGCCGGCAAGACGGTGTCGGCCAACCTGCTGCTCAAGCAGCTCGTCTACCTGGGCAAGGCGCCCAACCGCAACCTGGAGAAGCGGATCCTGCAGGTGAACCCCGTCATGGAGGCGTTCGGCAACGCGCAGACCGGCATCAACTCCAACTCGTCGCGCTTCGGCAAGTACCTGGACGTGGCCATGACCAGGAGCGGGCGCGTGACGGGCGCGCGCATCTCGGTGTACCTGCTGGAGCAGTCCCGCGTAGTGCAGCAAGCAGAGTGAGTACTTACATCACTCTCGATGGTGTGGCCTTCCACCTGATCGGATCGCTGAGAGAAAAAGAAAACCACATGAGAACCCCCACATGATTTGTGTGCCACTCCCACGGCCCGTGAGCATCTGTTCCTTCCTCTCGGTTCGCAGGGGCGAGCGCAACTTCCACGTGTTCTACTACCTGTACGACGGCCTGGAGCGGGAGGGCCGCCTCCACGACTTCCACCTGGACGCGGACCTGCGCGCGCACCACGCCTTCCTGGCCGGCGAGCGCACCGACCCGCTCAGCAAGCAGGCCAACGTGGAGCGCTTCTACCAGCTCAAGGCGGCCTTCGGGCTGCTGGGCTTCCGCCCGGACGAGGTGGACTCGGTGTACCGCGTGCTGGCCGCCATCCTCCACATCGGCGACCTCGAGTTCGCCGACCAGCTGCCCGCCAACAACGGCGCGGGCGACCCCGGCACGCGCCTGCTGGACGTGGCGCCTCTGCACCGAGGTACGTTCTGGACCAGCGCGCCGCGCGCCCGGCGGGTAGGCAGCCCATCCGGCAGCGTGCGCCGGGTGGGCCGGCCACCCATCGTGCCCGTCCGCCCCGCGCCCTCTTATTCTAATCGTCGGACATAATTTGACAGTTTTTTTGACTTGACAAAATGGAGATTTGACTGTTGCCCCTCCTGCCGCAGTGTCGCAGCTCCTGGGCGTGGACGCGGCCGAGCTGGTGACGGCGCTCACGTCCACCAGCGTGGTGACGCGCGGCGAGACCATCACGCGCTGCAACAGCCGGCAGGAGGCGAGCGCGGCGCGCCACGCGCTGGCCAAGGGGCTGTACGGCCGCCTGTTCGACTGGATGGTCAACCAGATCAACACGCTGCTCGCCTTCAACAAGGCCGGCGAGGACCCGCTCTCCATCGGCCTCCTCGACATCTTCGGCTTCGAGAACTTCCCGCGCAACTCGTTCGAGCAGCTGTGCATCAACATCGCCAACGAGCAGATTCAGTATTACTTCAACCAGCACATCTTCACCTGGGAGCAGCAGGAGTACATGGCGGAGGGCGTGCCCGTCGACCTGGTCGAGTTCTCGGACAACCGCCCCGTCCTGGACATGCTGCTGTCCCGCCCGCTCGGCCTTCTGGCTCTGCTCGACGAAGAGTCGAGGTTTCCCAGAGCCAGCGACCGGACTCTAGTCGGTGAGAGCGGGATTATCGAATTATTTGAATCAAAACCGTTTCAAATTTAAATTTAAACGAAAAGTAGTTTTTTGTAGTAAATGCGAGACTAACGTACAAAATTTAAAATGTACTTCAATGATTAAATGTTTGGCTTGCAGATAAATTTCACTGCAACATGAAGAGCCGCTTCTACGTGCGGCCCAAGGGCAACGCGCTGTGCTTCGCCGTGTGCCACTACGCGGGCAGGGTCGTGTACCAGGCCGAGGGCTTCCTGGAGAAGAACCGCAACTTCCTGCCGCCGGAGGTGATTCAGGTGAGCATACTGTCCTGCATGGCTGTGGCAGCAGCCAGTATTGTGCGAATAAAGCGACAGTCGTCACAACAAGGGTTTGCGAGCAATTTCCGATCGTCTTATTTTGATTTTGCAGGTGGTGCGCAGGTCGTCCATCTCCTCCGTCCGCTTCCTCTTCCAGTGCCCCATCACCAGGACGGGCAACCTGTACGCCGCGGCCACCCCCAGCCCGGAGCCAACCACACCACCGGTAAGAACTTTTACATCCGTTTTCAGTAGTGCGTCTCAACGTTAATCCTTTGTAAATACTTTGCTGATCTCACCTGGATCCCGGCCAATTATGACTCATTTTTTTCCGTTTATTTATTTTCTATAGTATCTAAACAAACTACTTGCTTCCGGCCACCTCCAGGAGCGGTTCAGCAGCGTCGGCCTGGCGTCGCAGTCGCGCGCCCAGCAGACGGTCTCGACGTACTTCCGGTTCAGCCTGATGGACCTGCTGCAGAAGATGGTGTCCGGGTCGCCGCAGTTCGTGCGCTGCATCAAGCCGAGCGAGGAGCGGGCCTCCTCCGCGCCGCCGGGCGGGCCCGGGGGCCGCGGCGGCGCCGTGTTCGACGCCGACAAGGTGCTGCGCCAGCTGCGCTACACGGGCGTCCTGGAGACGATCCGCATTCGGCAGCATGGCTTCTCCCACCGCTTGCCCTTCGCCGAGTTCCTCAAGAGGTGCGTCTCCATCTGCCCTTGAGGTCCAGCTGCTCTGAATGTGATCTACACTCTGGTACTCTCCCCTAGGTACTACTTCCTTGGCTTCGGGTTCAAGGAGAACGTTCCTGCGACGAGGGAGTCCTGCCGCCTGCTGCTGGTGCGGCTGCACATGGACGGCTGGGCGCTGGGCAAGACCAAGGTGTTCCTTAAGTACTACCACGTCGAGTACCTGGCCAAGCTGTACGAGGAGCAGGTGCGCCAGGTGGTGCTGGTGCAGGCGTGCGTGCGCGCGTGGCTGGCGCGCGTGCGCTACCGGCGCGCGCTGGCGCACCGCGAGGCCGTGCGCGAGGCGCAGCGCCAGTCGGCGCTCACGCTGCAGCGGTACGTGCGCGGCTGGATCGAGCGGCGGCGCGTGCACGAGCTGGAGGCGCAGGCGGCGCGCGCGCACGCGCAGGCCCAGGCGCACGCCCAGGCGCACGCCCAGGCACAGGCGCGGGCGCGGGCGCCGCGGCAGCGCCAGCCCCCGGCGCTCGTCAACCAGCCCAAGAAGGGTGAGTCACTGGAGAGCGCAGCCTCCTCCGCGTACGCCAAGCCACCGTCATGCGATAACCTTGGCTGACCCGTCACTCGTGGTGTTTGCTGCAGGCAAGCAGGCGGGCGCGGCGGCCTGGCTCAAGGCGCGTCTCCGGCGCCGCGGGAACGACAAGGAGAACCAGCCCCTGGACCCCAACCAGGCTGCGGTTCTCATCCAGAGCCGTGAGTGTTCCATCCAAGAAAACAACGACAAATTTTCTAATTTGTCGCTAAAATTTGAGCCCTTCCTCCCCTACTTTCGCTAATGAGATGTCTCACTTGATCTCCAGATTTCCGAGGCTACACGGCCCGCCGTCGCTGGAGGCGCGACGTGGAGGCCGACGCCCGGCAGAGAGAGCGGGAGCGGGCAGCCCAGGCGGCGCAGGTCAGTGCGGGTTTGTCCCCTCCTTGCTGGAGCACTGCGTTTGTTTGTCTCCTTTGTCTCCAACAGTTCTGATATGATCTGCCGAGCGATATGTCCTGTCAGGTTCAGAACTGAGGTACTTAGCCAAGGGAAAGGGGAGGGGCCGGGAGGATGAAGTCATGTGAAGGGAGAGCCTCGGAGAGCCCATTCTACTGGGGGGCGGTCGTTTAGGCTGTATTGATGACAATGCATCTAACTGGATTTCATTTCTAAATTCGGTAGATTGTGCTTCCCGACATAGCGGCGAGGAACAGCGCCGAGCTGGCCGCCTTCTCCCAGAAGGTGCACGCGGCCAACCAGGACGCCCACCGGTACCTGCGGCGGCATAAGAACGCCGCCCCGGGGCCGGCGGGCGGCGCCAAGCCCGCGGGGAAGCCGCTGGGCAAGCCCGTCGCGGCCTCGGCGTACTACGAGGCTCTCCAGGATCACGTCAGCAGGAAGAACGCCGACAACCACCAGCCCGAGGCTCCCCGCCGGCGGGGAAGGGGGCAAGGACACCAAGGGTGAGCAGATTGACGATAGTTTTGAAACCGGTGTTGGAGTAAGGGGCAAATCAGTCATCATGTTCTTGTGGCGTTGTAGGCAAGGGAAGCAACCCAAACAGCAGGCCGTCAACGGCGGCGGACACAGCCAGCCCAGCCCGTCGGGAGGGTCGTCGGGTAGCCCTGGTGGGTCATCCCCAGGACACCAAGGACCCCCCGACGTGCACCGCGTCCTCAGGTCCTCGCCCACGGCCAACCCCGGCCTCGGCCCTGCTTCTTCGCCGTCCCCCGCCGTGCCGCCCTCCCCCGCGCGCACCCCCGTGCTCCCCAACTCCCACTCCCCCGCCCCCGTCGGCCTCCTCGACCCCCGCAGCCCCAGCGGCTCCAACGAGGATCTGCGAGGACCCTACGACTTCCGCCGTCTGCTCAGGTAAG